AAAGAGTGTAATATAAAAATGGAGATCACAGTTCCTGAAATACAAGTAGAAAGTAAGGATGAGAAGAGATCAGCAGAAGTTAGTCCTCAGAATGAGAGGCAGGAGGAAAAAGCATCGACACTTTGCTTCAAGAGAAGAAAGAAAGCAGCCAAAGCAATGAAGCCCAAAGCTGGCTCTGAAGCTGCTGCTGATGCAGCAAGGAAGTGTCCCCCAGAAGCAGGAGCTTCTGATCAGCCAGAGCCCCCCGGGGGGGCCTGGGCCTCCATCAAACGCCTTGTAACACGCAGCAAAAGGTCAGATTCTTCAAAGCAGCAAAAGCCCTTTGAGGCCAAAGTGCAACCTGAAATCAATGCTGAGGATGATAATTCTAAAAAAAAGGCAAAATCCAGACTCAAGATTCCCTGTATAAAATTCTCAAAAGGGGAGAAAAGAAGTAATCATTCCAAAATTATAGAAGACTCAGACTGCAGTATCAAAGTCCAACGACAGGCTGGAAGTTTGGATACAAAAACTCTGACCCAATCAGATGACCAGGCAGCAAAGACCAAGCCAAAGCAGGATGTAAGGGAAGACGTCTCACAGAAAGGGAGTGATGAGGTCTGTGAATCAAATGTGAACAACAGCATAACTTCTCCTGGAGAGAAAGTGATTTCAGTAGAACTTGAGTTAGATACAGGGCATTCTGCTATTCATACAGGAACTCTAATCCTTGAAAAAGATATTGAAACGCTTGAGGAAAAACAAAGCATTCAACCTCAGCAAGCAAGCCCACTGGAAACTTCAGACACAGAACACCAGCTCCCAGTGGTTTCTGATGTTCCTCCCTCACCTGCAGTCCCAGATCAACAAATTCTGGAAGGAGCCAGAAACAGTATCCTAGAAAGTGGACCAGATTGGAAAGACCGTGAAAGTAAAGAGACTGTTGCTGAGGAGAGTAAGCCGAAAGATACTGAACTGAGCCAGGAGTCAGATTTTCAAGTAAATGAAATCACTGCAGAAAAACCCAAAACAGAAGAAAGCAAAAGAATGGAGCCAATTGCTATTATTATCACAGACACTGAAATCAGTGAATTTGATGTTAAGAAATCTAAAAATGTCCCTAAGCAATTCTTAATTTCAATCGAAAATGAGCAAGTGGGGTTTTTTGCTAATGATAGTGGTTTTGACAGTAGAACTTCAGAACAATATGAAACACTCTTAATGGAAACAGCTTCTTCTCTTGTCAAGAATGCTATCCAGTTATCTATAGAACAGCTGGTTAATGAAATGGCCTCTGATGATAATGCAGAAAGCAGTCTTCTACAGTGACTTAATGTCCACATCATGGGAGGGAAAAAATGCTTAATGGTAAATTATTTTACATATTTGTGGCATCTCTTATTCAGTAACAAATGAGAGATTTAACACCTGTAGAATTTAAAGGTACAATTCGAACCCAGAAGTGCTAAAGAATTAAGTTATAAAACCCTCCCTTATCACTGAAATGTAGCCACTTCTGGATTGGAGGAAGTCAGTACAGATCGCAATGAAAAGTAATATCCAGGAAATTGCTAAAATGGTTTGGGGAGATTAGACTGCCTGGGAGAAGCAAGATTTATTTATTGAGCACTTGCGGTATGCCATAAGCTCTTTAATGTCCTCTGATGTCACAAAGCCTGGTTTCCTTTTAAAAGTTCAACACTGTGTAACATCGCATTCTGTTTTCAACAACTTTTTTTTTACAGTGCACTTTTATGTTGTATAAAATGGTGATAAGGTGAGCTATTTTTGTGAATGTGTGACTTATAGCTGTTATACTCCTAGGTAGTAGTCTTACCTCAAAAAAATACTGCAGGGCTTCCCTGGTGGCACAGTGGTTGAGGGTCCGCCTGCCGATGCAGGGGACACGGGTTCGTGCCCCGGTCCGGGAAGATCCCACATGCCGCAGAGCGGCTGGGCCCGTGAGCCATGGCCGCTGAGCCTGCGCGTCCGGAGCCTGTGCTCCGCAACGGGAGAGGCCACAACAGTGAGAGGCCCACATACCGCAAAAAAAAAAAAAAAACTGCAAACCAAAAAAATAATAGTTTGATTAAACATGAGTGGTTTTCTAGTCTTGCTCAAGTTCCTTACAAAAGCCATTCACAAATTACTTCAAACAGGCAAATAATTACCAAGTGCAAAGGTGTGGAAACAGGGAATGCATTTTCCATCTCCATGTTTCTTCTGCCCCAAGCAGACCTGTATAAAAATCCACTTGTGCATGCGGGATTCCCTGGTGGCGCAGTGGTTGAGAGTCTGCCTGCCGATGCAGGGGACACGGGTTCGTGCCCCGGTCCGGGAAGATCCCATATGCCGCGGAGTGGCTGGGCCCGTGAGCCATGGCCTCTGAGCCTGCGCGTCTGGAGCCTGTGCTCCACAACGGGAGAGGCCACAACAGTGAGAGGCCCGCGTACTACAAAAAAAAAAAACCACTTGCGCATGGGATCATCTGCTGAAAACAAAAAACAGGGCTTCCCTGGTGGCGCAGTGGTTAAGAATCCGCCTGCCAATGCAGGGAACACAGGTTCGAGCTCTGGTCCAGGGAAGATCCCACATGCCGCAGAGCAACTAAGCCAGTGCACAACTACTGAGCCTGTGCTCTAGAGCCCATGAGCCACAACTACTGAGCCTGTGTGCCACAAGTACTGAAGCCTACGCGGCTAGAGCCCGTGTTCCGCAACAAGAGAAGCCACTGCAATGAGAAGCCCGTGCACCGCAACAAAGAGTAGCACTCGCTCACCGCAACTAGAGAAAGCCCACACGCAGCAACAAAGACCCAACTCAACCAAAAAATAAATAAGTTTTTAAAATTAAAACAACAAAAAGTGGATTATTTTCCATCCAGGAGAAGACAAACTTCCCAAGTAACAAATTACCACATATAACACACGATTCATCTTGCAAGATTAAATCTCTGGAGACTGTATTCATCAATCTCTCCTCAAAGAGGGGAGAGTGGACTCAAAGCAAACCTGGCAGTAAAAGTCATAGGAGGGCTTCCCTGGTGGCGCAGTGCTTGAGAGTCCGCCTGCCGATGCAGGAGACGCGGGTTCGTGCCCCGTTTCGGGAGGATCCCACATGCCGCGGAGCGGCTGGGCCCGTGAGCCATGGCCGCTGAGCCTGCGCGTCCGGAGCCTGTGCTCCGCAAATGGGAGAGGCCACAACAGTGAGAGGCCCGCATAACGCAAGAAAAAAAAAAAAAAAAAAAAGTCATAGGAAATCATAATAATTTAGTGAAAATATTCATGCTTGGCTAAGAATGAGCCAAATACATCTTTCATTGTGCCTGTGTGTTGAGAGACACCAGTAAAAATTTTACACGGATATTGAAAATAAACTTTTTCATCAGTACTTTTAGTCCAGCTAGTCCCTTACAAAAAAAAAAAAAAAAAATGAACTTAATATAACAATGAGAAGGGCTTGTTTGCATTTTCTTCAGTTATTTAAATCATCGATCTCAATGATTGTCATATTTTTTGAAAAAATAAGTAATTGTTTCAACCTTTCCTTGTGTGAAATGGCCCTAATACTGCAACACACTTCCGTACCTCACAGGTCAGGGTTCCTATTGTACAGTCCTCCACTGTCTAAACTGAGTGACAGTGTCACTCTGAAAGTAGATGAAGTAATCAAGAGCTTTTGCTTGAGTTGTAAGGTATCTGTACATTCTTGGAGAAAAGAATGTACATTAGATGATTTCAAATGATCTGGTGACTTCCTGCATTATTTATGGATTACATACAGAAAGTATGTGCTAATTTGTCCCATGGAATCTTTGTTTCTTCCTGTAAGTACATATTGAGACCTCTGGCAGAAGAACCTAATCTGACTTTGGAACTGAACCAGATAATGGATATTATTAGCAAGATTCTTTGCTAATAATGTATTATTACATTATTACATGTAATGTATTATTACATTAATAATGTAATGAAGTGTAAATGTATTTCCTGTATTCCCCCAGATTTTCCTACCTTCATGCTTATAACCTTGGGGGGGGGAGTGGGGGGAGGAAGAGGGAAGCTACCAAAATCTTTGTTTTACAAGATGAAAAGTGGATCTTTCAAAACATGACCCAAGAAATCAATTTCATTTCATTGCATAATTTTTAAACATTTTTTAAAAAAAGACTGCTAAGTCATCCTCCCTAAAAACTCTTTTTAATTCACTATATGTGGTGCTAATGGACTTGGACAGCTACCAGCAACTACATATTTAAAAGTGAGCAATTTAAAAAGACTGATTAAAGTTGGTGCATTTAACAGTGTTTCGAAGAATCCTGCCTTCATTTACTGCAAGGATGGCTCAAGCCATATACTTTCATTGTAAATTTTTAGTAATTTCTCATGAATGAGCAAAAAGTACAGCATTTACCAGTTACTGAAAATATTTTGAAATGTGCAGGTATATTTATTTGGGAGTTTTAAAAACGTGAGGTAAATATGTGTAATGAAATTCTCCTAAGAAAGTAACATTTTATCTAAGTAGTCCTAGGTTTCTATTTTTCTTCCACTGTGGTGTGGTACATATTTGGTTAGAATGTATTATAATTGATAGTTTTTGTGATGAAATGTGTACTCTATTTGCATTCATTCTTAAGTGGTTTCTCCTCAGTCTTTTCTATTGAGAATATCTGGTGAATTAAATAAGTAGGATCCAGTTTGAAAAAGGATTCCAGAAATTAATTGGTCTCAATCTGATTATATCTGCTACATGGCCAAATCCTACTACTATGAATTGTAAGGTGATCTAAATTGTTTTGTTGTTATAGAAATAATTAGGAATCAGATGACTTAGAAGTTTCTCATAAAATATTTTTTAATGGTATTTATTTTAAGCAATTTGACCTTATATGCAAGACATTAAATGAATATAAATAGGTTCTTATTCAATTCACATCCATTTGACAATATTAAAATATCACTTAAAAGGCAATTTAGTAAAGCAATTATACCCCAATAAAGATGTTTTTAAAAAAAGGCAATTTAATAACACCACATTAATTTTCCTTTAAATTTGCTGTGGTATAAATGCTGCTTTTAGTGAACATTTATTAAGTAGCTGGGATTCGGTTTCTCTTTGAACTCATAATTTTACAAGGCTGGTTGGTTTATCAGGTAACTTCCTCAGCACATTATCTTCCCCCTTTTAAGATTCAAGTATTATTCAGTTTGCTTTACAACAGGGGAATACAAAAATCCTCCTCTATTTTGTGTAGCACTATTCACTTAACATTTTCTCAAAGTACTTTATAGGATATAAAAATAGTCCCTGGTCACATTTAAGTAAAGGTAGCAGAAAACAGAAGAACATTCAAAGAGGAATCATGTTCCCTGCCACCTCCTCCACCTCAAGGAACAATAAGCATTTGGCAGAAATGGAGTTCTTCAGAAAAGCTGTCAGCGTAATTTTCTTTGAAGATAATCCATTTGACAGCACGAAGTTTGTGATCTTAATTGGCCTACTATTTAATGAAGTCTTAAAAACTGATTTATTTCTGAGAGATTACGTTATTTCACCAATATGTGTGAATAGCCTGGAATTCCAGCTAAAGGCTTTTAGAAATAATGGATCATGAGAGGGCACCAGTCGAATCTGGCTTCTGCAAAAAATCCAGAGTTAACTTCATCCATAAGTTTCTAACTTCAAGTTGCCTTATTTTTTATAGTTAATAATTTATTTGGGGGGGATTTGCAGCAGAATTAACATAATTATTAGGCTTTAGAATCACATTGTTTGAAAATACCCCTTTAATGTCAACTTTATTCAAATGTGTGAAGTCTGCTTTCTAATTTCACCTGATACTCAATACATTAGGGGTGGACTTTTCTGCCTGCCCTTTCTGCATTTTTAAACATCCTCATTTAAGGTTTAGCGTTTCTTAGTTTCAAATTCCTATGATGTTTTATTGCTTCACACACATGAAGTTTCTCGTTATACAGAATTCAAAATTTCAATATATAGTACATTTTATGGCACATTTTTGAGAAGTTTTTTTGTAATCCTTACTTAGTTACAAAAATTTAACAGAAAGAAACTACTTAAATTTAGATTAAATTCAATTTATTCAACATGTGTTGGGTATGACACATGCCAAACACTGATAAAGGGGACAGGCTCCCTGCCCTCGAAGAGCTCAACCTAGGGAGCCACAGCAACTGAAACTTGGACAGGGGTTAAGGCAAAGAACCACAGTGATGCAGCATCATGAGTGCATGGAGACTAAAGAGAGATTCATTTTGTCTGGTATGGGGAGATGGTCATATAAATACAGGGGCAGTTTGATAGCA